GTTTCGTGAGCAAAAGAGGAGAAGAATAGTGTATGAGGGCCTCTGCCATAGGTATTCTGTTGTTAAGTATTTGTAAGAGTCGGAAATTAGAAAAAATTACGTCCAAATTAGTTTCCAAAAGAATTCTAATCGAATAAGAAAAGTTCATTTTGCGTGCGGATTTTTTGTCTCTGCACAGTAGTCAGTAATTTGGTTATAACTTTCTCTTCCGATATCCGATTCAAAATGAGTTAGAAAGATAATTTGAAGAGCTGCAATTTTATTAGAATAGATCTTTTTCCAATTCGGACTTTTACTATGCCAAAAATGAGTCTCAATTTTAAACTAAAAATCTGGAATATATCTTGTGCGAATTGGAAATTGATTTTGATAATACTCCATTCATTTTTGACTTTTAATTGCTTCCAATCGACCCTTAGCACTCTCGAACCTTTATCGTGAGCCCTGATATAATTTTTCAGTATTTGTACTTTAGTCCCTGAACTTTCACTTTCTTCCATTCTGATCATCTTTCAATTGCTTCTCCTTATTTTCGCTGCATTCATCACTAGTCCTGCAAAAAATGAATTGCATAAAATTAAGCTATANTATATTCCAACATATTAATTAACAATTGATCATGTTTGACAGTAAAATAAGTATGTAAAACGTACTTATCAATACCCATCTTGGAGATAAATCTAACAACATGTCCATATTTCAGATCTTCTTTGTACTTAAATAGTCGAAATGAAAAATGAAAAATGGATAAATCAAAAAGGCATTTATGGAGAATCGACAAATGGGGTTTCGGAATTTTCGTTATATTCCTAAGAATTCGAATAAGCAAATCCTGGCTATGCAATATGTTCCTACACAGTACACACTACAGTATTAGCAATTTCTTCTGCAATTTTTAGTAGAGAGAAACAGAGCAAACCAAAGCCAGCAATATAATTTAAGGTAGAGTAATTAGTTCTAATTCACGTGGATATATTCTGACAAAGAGTAATTTACAACTAGGAAAGAAAAATCAAAGTTGCAAAAAAAAATTGAAAAAAATAAAATTTTGTCACATGTTCTGTGAGTTGTAGTTCTTAAACCCGATTTT